CTCTTCTTCCGACCCCGAGCTCTCATCTTCAACCGAGTCCCCCGTCTCCACTGAGGACTCGTCTGAGAGTGACCCGTCTGTACCATCAACCCCCTCCGCCCCCGGCGAGACCTCACGGCGTGCTACGGGGGCTTTGCCAGCCGTACTCTTCTGTTGTGGGTCCTTGCGGCGTGTGACGGGGGCTCTGACAGCCGTACCCTTGCCCTGTATCTTTCCCACCACCGCCGCCTTCTCAGCCTCGCCTACGGCAAAACTCTTCGTGAACTTCGCAGTGTTCGGATCTGTTTTGCTCAGCTCCAACGAAGTGGCATGCTCCTGGTCTACGTGGTGGGACATGGAGTACTTCCACACCCACTTTTCAGGGCTGCAAAACAAGCACTTCAGGGGTACGTTAGTGCAAGGTGTAGAAGTCGTGAACTTCGACGCCGCTTTTAGGCCGATAGCAACGAGACTTGTTCGCGAGTCCAACTTGGGCGCAAGAGAACAGTTGGAGTGTATCTGAGGCGCAGCCTTCCCCGTCTTTGCTTCGACAACCCACGTCTTGCACTTCTCCCCAATGTCCCCGCCACAAAAGCCGCACGTGTTGCGCTGCCGTCGGTCCTGTGGGAGCGGCAGTACCATCAACAGAAACACATTCAAAACAAAACGTTGTCATCGTTCCTGCAGGTATGTCCAACTTGAAATATTTGGCAGTCCTTTGAACTCACAGAAACAGAAACAAAGTGCACTTGCTTGCGAGCGTCTTACCTTATCCTGAAGGATGTGTCCCCCCATGTGCTGCAGCAGCAGTTTCGCGGGCAGCTCCAAGAAACACAGCGGGCACTCCACTTTCCCACCCACATCCACAGAAGCTGCCGGAACTTCCTCCGCCCCGAGAGCCCCGCCCGCCATGCAAGTGAGGATGTCATGAAGAGGAAGAGGGGTGACTTGGTTGCGTGGTGGTGGTCGCACGTCAGGAACCGCCGCCCAGCCTTGTACCCTTTCCACTTCAGCTTGAAGCACGTGCTGTGTGGTGATCAACTCGTCCATGCTGAACACGTACGTCTGCTTGCCCATCTCCAACGTCGGGTCCAGTTCCTCGACAAGGGCAAGAGAGCAGCTGTAAGTAGTCGCTGTGTGCAGCTTTCGGTCCTCCCACTCAAACGTCGAACCATCGCCGTCACCTCCGACCAGCCTCATCCTCATCAGCTGCCCTTTGACCACCTGACCATCTGCGGCCTCGCCGCCAGCTGCTGGTGGCGCAGATACGACTAGAACCCCGACACAGTAGCTCACGGGTTGGTGACGTCCTGCGCGAAGCCTGAATAGCGCCGCAAACGGGGAGCCGATCTGCAACGCTGTGCCCGAGTCATCCAAGCAAGTGCTACCCTCGGCCAGGCGTGCGCCTGCCGGCGTCGTGAACGCCCGCACACGTGCGAGCCGATCTCTGGAGGCCTTGCCGGCGTGAGGCCCAGTATACTCTTTAACCGCGGAGGCCTTGAAGATCTATCATTAACGAAAAATAACACCGAAAGATACGCGCCGTGGCCGACAAACAGCAGGGCACGTGTAAAATAGAGTTCGGGATCAGGTTTGCTTGCAGCTGCGTGTACTGCAACGGTCCATGATTGACTATTCCAACAAGTTGATTCCAACCAAGTTCTACGTTAGACATAATTTGCTTCAGTCGATCGACAAAGCACGCCTTAACACGTTGTGTGCAAGATGGTTGGTGGTGCGGTCACATGGTGTTCACTGGGCGAATATTTGTTGCTTGGCCAAGTTGGGAAAAGAAAAGTCCCTCGCACCTTCTTCGCGCCCACTTGCACAAATGGGCTGTGGGTAGATGAGCTTGACTCTTCTCCCTCCGTGTCCAGCACCTCTCGGAGTTCAGCGTTGTCGGAGTCCCCGCCACCGTCACTTGGCGATGCTGCCTGGCCGACGACACGCTCCTCCTCGTCACATGCGTCGGTGCCGTCTTCGGCCCGCACGCCAGGCATTTCTTTGTTGGTTCTGGAGGGGGGGGTGCGGGAATGGTGGGCAGTTGCATTCAGGACAGTGTGACAAGTATCCGCGACCCTTGATAAACACCAATTGTTAGCAGGCAGAACGTAGACCGCTGACGTTGTTGGAAC